TCAAAATTTCGAGAATAACACGCAAAGGCAAAAGGTCAGCTGATGTTTCTGTATTTTTCTTATAAATGGTTTAAATTTAAAATGAGGTAATAGGACAAAGTTATTGTTAAAAGTTAACCCTTTAAGTCACTTCCCCCACAGGGGTTTCGTTACAAAATACACATACCGTTTTGATACTGATATAGGTCACGGTCTTCATAAACATACATGTGCTGTGACCTATATCAGTATAGTATATGTACATGTGTATTAGACATTTGTAACGAACCCCTGTGCTTCTAGCGTGCTGTGTATGCCCTCGAAATATAGCTAGCTGCCTATATCCAAAGACGTCTTTTATCACCTCCGAAATATTAAGTTTTACGTTCATTATCAGTAAATTCTTTCATTAATAAGTCTAAATCTAAATAACTTTCACGGGATAAAAAGCCAGTCATATTTGACAATGATTTATCATCCGATCAGATACTTACCTGATGCTGCTTGACAATGAACAGATATGCTTGCGACATCATCACGTGTATGCATTCGTTTTCTATTGTTTTAGTCATGGTTGTTACACTGTGTACTGATCTGTCAAATCAGTGTCACATTCTCGGTCTCTCATCACCTAGGTAAACAACATGGTTATCGATACCGGAAACTTGTCTGTTAGGTCACACGCAAGCGCAGTACAGGTAAATTGGCTCCAGCGAGAGGGTTACAAGTCGTCATGGTTCGGTGCACAAATACAAGAGGTGGACAATACATACGCTAGACGAGAGCGGTGTTGCCAATCCCTCTTATCTAAGTCCGTGGTATATATAAGGTTTTAATACTTGTTTTGGGTTCAAATATCTCTATGTATAGTCGATATATTTTTATACTTATACAGATATATAGAGTTTACAGTCAAATGTTTACATTACACTTTTAAACAGATAATATAGAATATAGCAGCACAGGTAGAACACAGGTAAGTACTGCCCATACGACTAAGAAACGGACTATAATCCTTCTAACAACATTCTTCCCAATGTTATTTTAAAAAGTGGGGGAAACGAGACCAAGCCGATTGGACACTGCATTCAGTCTCAGACAAAGGACAGCTAAATTGGCTTACCTGGTCGGGTACGGCCTGGGTCTGAAAGGCTATTATGTAAATCGGACTGTACGGATGTGTTTTTGGATACTCGTGAAATCACCCACCGACATAGAGAAAGTTAACGTTATTCTAATAAGTTTATATTTTGACTATACGACATCTCCAGAACTTTAACTTTTCAAATTAGATAACAACACCCCGCAAAAGTGTTGTTATACAAACATGATTACGGCCGTGGTCACACCCGTATTGGTGGTCATTGTTATATTGTGTGGTCTGGACGAGCTGTCCGCATTTAAGGTAGTGGACTTGACCCACGAGCTGAGTGACACGACAATCTACTGGCCGGGAAATCCATCGTACAACCTTACAGAACTGTTTCGGGGTCAGAACGGCGCCTTTTGGTAAGCTACGTACATCTTTGAGTAAATGAATCGATCATATTTTAAAGATGAGCGCAAGAAAATCAGTTTCAATCAGTGTGCTAATAACAATACGGGGACGGATCCAGAATTACAAAGACAGTGTACACTAATTATTGATAACACATCCCAGCATCAACTAAGGGCCGGGTCACTAAATCATATTGTACAAGGTGTCGTCTCACGTAGCATACAAAATGTACGTATTTTCCTATATACAGGTAAGGTTTGATTACAGGTAAACTATAGTCTGTACTAAAAAGTATCTTACCGTGTAATTGCATACATAGGGAATTAGCACAGCACTTATCTTTGCTGTTAAATTCTATTTATTCATGATATTTCCATTTCATATATTAAACTCTTCATCATAACATAATATCCATTTTTTCAACTTCATGCTATACACTTCATGAAAATATTAATATTAATTTTGCACTTTAAATAATAGAATTCATCATTTTCCGAATCAGTTGATAGGCTTCAAGAAATACTTTTTAACTTTGAAAATGAAGTGGAATTTATATGTTTAGTTTAGTTTAGTTTAGTTTTTTATTTCCGAATGCAAATCAGCATATAGGTTAATTGATACATAGAATACAAAACATATTTCAAATTTTCAAGATGGCGGAGGACAATTCCATATAAGCAATTATCACATAAAAAGAATACATAATTTAGCAATATTACTACACGAGGGTTTTTCTTTTGGCGGTAGCATATTTTAAATACAGACCCAATCTACGTAATGTTTTAATACTTTTACATGACAATAATTCAATTAATTTATACACACTGGGGCATCGGAAGTAATATTGCTTAATGTATGTGTTTCTCAATACAGAGTAAGCAGGACAAATAAGAATAAAATGTATCTCATCTTCTAAATCATTTTTGTCACAGGCAAAACATAATCTTTGACCTCTCGGAACCCCATTATAACGTCCAGATTCGATATTAAGGGAATGCGCCTGCATGCGATATTGACTCAACATTTTTTTGGTATTAAATGTTAAAGGCTTTACTAAATAGAATTGCATATTAAAAGTATCGACAAGATGTCTATATAAATAACATTTAGAAGATGTTTCAAACGCACCACGTAATTCCTGAATAAATACGTCATGCAGACGTTGGGTATACATTTCCACAAATTGTTTTTCATTTGGAACATATTGAACATCCCAAATATGATTAAAACCCATTCTATATAAATCATTTTTAACATGATAAACCCAGTTAAGTTTACAATTCGGCTTTTTGACATTAAGCTCAAGTAGTGCATCATAGCATGCTTTTAGTACACAGTTATTTGTATTCAAAATATTTAACCAGTATTTAATTATAGCTACTTTGCGCTTTATATGTAAGGAATAACTTCCTGTCTCAAAGTAAACCATAGAACTATTGACGGTTTTCTTAACGTTTAATAAATCTTTAAGAAAGAGAAGATGGACTTTTTCGATTTGCGGCGATAAACAATTACCCCATACCTCACATCCATAGTTCAGTATGCATGTCACATATGTATCAAACAAAGATAATTTAGTTTCAGTATTAAGGATAAAATCTTTCATTCTTCTTTTTAAAAGATAAAAAGCATTCCTGCCTTGAGATGCCAACGTGTTTTGTGCTACGGTGAATCTTCCATTATAATAAAAAACTAATCCTAGATAACAAAATTTGTCCACTATCTCAATTGACTTGCCATTAAACGTCCAGTTTTCAGTAGGTAAGATTCTTTTACTTTTTCTAAAAATTACAATTTTAGTTTTATCATAATTAACAGTTAAATTCCATTTATCAGTGTAACATTGCAGACAATCTAGCATGTGCTGAAGATTGTTAACATCTTCCGAAAACAAAACTGTGTCATCGGCATACATTAACATAAACAGATTAATCAATTGTAGTTCATAACCTTGACAATTGGAATTTAAAAACTCACTCTCCATATCATTAACGAATAATGAAAAAAGCATGGGCGATAACGATTCCCCTTGTAATAAACCGACATGTAAATCGAACATAGTAGACAATTTACCATTTAAATTTATGCAAGAACGAACATTATCATAAATAGATCTAATTACATTTAGCAGTCTGCCACTAACACCACTTTTCCAAAGTTTATACCAAAGTTTATCATGTGTTACACTATCAAAAGCTTTGCTGTAATCTACAAATACGCAATACAGCCTTTTGTTTTGTTCTAATGTATTTATTATTAAACTATGTAATGTAAAAATAGCATCCCTGGTATGTAAATTTAGACAAAACAAGAATTATATTTTTTCATAAAGGTGGAAGAATTTATAATTATGAAATATGGTATTACATGTATAAAGGTAGCATATATGGTAGAATGTGAAGACAGATTCCCTTATGTGGGTTTAATATTAAGCTCAAGAAATAAATTCAATAACATAAAAATCTTTGTACTATTCTCAAAATGCTCAAATGCAATTCAATAGTTAAACCATGCTCCATCTTTTTGATACCGTACTTGTTATGGAAGTAAAATTCGGAGTTCATGTAATGCACTGTATGGAGAAAAAGGTTCATCTGAACTTTTCCAAGAAATTACTAAATGTGAAAAAGTCATCAAATTATAATATTATTATTCTCTTTATTGCCTCCAAAGATGAAGATTACAAAGTAATGTGAAACATATATACATAGTATTTGGTACATATATACACGAATACATAATATGCATTACATAAATATACACTTTATATATAGGGATATGTATATAAGGTGTAAACTAATAAAATATTTTAGAGTAACCTAAAAAGTTTCAATATACAGATTGCAAATTGATTTGCACAAGCCAAGTAAATTATAATAAATTGTATTGATAAGTGGTAGTAATACTTATACATGACTATGTATAGACATCAATGTATCGTTGTATTTGTTAATACCTGCAATAGAGACATGTATTATAACATACTAACTATGAACGCGGAAGATACATTTGTGGGTCTGGATCACATAAGGGTGGGGGATATCCCTACCTGCGAGGTGTTCAGGCCCACATATGTATACTCCCATGCATCTTAATCTGTAGTATAGTTCATATTATAGTATCTCATGTGATAACTTTTCCTAAGTGCACATAACTTATAGAAAATTCTACATTAGATATGTATGTATTTAGCTTTTAATCATAACTATTATATACATTAAGTATAATATAGTTTACACATCTTGTACACATAAATGATGGATTTTATCCTGAAATCATTCAACTCTTCCTCACTAATGTTGTAGGTTATATTTCCTCCAATCATTATGTGTAATATCTCAAGATCTGGGAGAGAGTGTAAATAGACACTAAACAGTATATCCTTGATATTAATTATACAGACAAACTGCATAATTCCCTAACTGACCAATCCTTATCACCTGGTAAGTGGTGGAAAATAGCCAAAACTATAATTAATGGTGAAAACAAACAAAATGACAACTCACCAATTATTTTTAATAACAATATTAACATTCATCCACTCGACAAAGCAGAATGTTTTAATAAATACTTCTCCTCACTAGCTAAACCTCTACATATTCTTTTTAACAAGTCAATATCTACCGGGAATTTACCTGAATCGTGGAAGGAAGCAAATGTTACTCCTATCTATAAGGGTAAAGGTGAAAAAACTGACACAACAAACTATAGACCTATATCTGTGACACCTATACTTGGCAAAATACTAGAAAAAATTATCTTTAAATACCTATATAATTATCTGTCAAATTATAATATATTGTCCAAAAACCAGTCTGGCTTCATTCCAAATGACTCTACAGTAAATCAACTACTATCATTATATCATACAATTGTATCTCAACTAGATAAGGGTAATGAAGCCAGATTGGTGTTTTGTGATATCAGTAAAGCATTTGACAGGGTTTGGCATACTGGGCTTATCGCTAAGCTGAAGAAATATGGTATTAATGGAAATGTATTGAGATGGTTTGAAAACTATGTAAGCAACAGAAAACAGAGGGTATCAATAAATGGTTATTACTCCACATGGAAAACTCTTAAAGCCGGTGTACCACAAGGGTCTGTCCTTGGTCCATATCTATTTTAATTTAAATAAATGACCTTGAAGAAGAAGTCCAATCGAAAATTAAATTATTTGCTGATGACACATCATTATATGCTTTGATTAACAATGACTCTATTCAGGTAGCTATTCAACTTAACCAAGACCTTGACAATATTTCAAACTTGGCAGAGAAATGGGGAATACTATTTAATCCAAACAAAACTGAATCATTAATAGTCAGTAAAAAACACAATGCAACTATTTCTCATCCAAACCTTATTTTCAATAACACTATCATAAGTAATGTAAAACAACATAAACATTTAGGTCTTTTATTTAATGACATAGGTGGATGGAGAGACCATATTAACTACATTTATGAAAAATCATGTAAACGTATAAATATATTGAGATTACTTAAGCATAAAATTGATAGAAAATTACTCGAGACTATTTATTTGATATTTATAAGGCCTATATTAGAATATGGGAGTGTTATATGGGACAACTGTACTTCAACAGAGGAAAATCTACTAGAATCCCTACAATTAGAAGCAGCAAGAATAATTACAGGTATAAGAAGGGGCACAAGTCACATTATTATCTACAAGGAAACTGGGTGGGATACTTTAAAGAAAAGAAGAAATGATCAGAAACTAATTCTTTTATATAAAATACTACACCATGATGCACCCCAATATTTAATAGATATTCTTCAACCATTGATCAGAACTCCAGAGGAAAATATATATAATATAAGACAACCAAGGCTAATTAATGAACCAAGAGCTAGAACAAACCTTTATCTCAGAAGTTTTTTCCCTGATATTACCTATCAATTGAACAATAACAATACCACTATTTTAAATTCTGTATCCCTAAACCAGCTAAAAAATAAACTGAAATCAACTCCAGAACCTTTTATTACAGCTGAAGATATGTGTTCAAACTTTTAAATATGGAGGTAACAGAAAATTAAACATAATGCTGTGTCAATTAAGAAATAATGTCAGTCAGTTAAATGCAGATCTGTATAATGATCATCTAAGAGATAATCCAACTTGCCAATGTGGTTATTTAAATGAAGACAAGATACATTACTTTTTAAGATGTCCTTTATATAATAATGACAGGATTGACCTTACCAGATCAATAAATAATATAGATCCACTTCTACGAGAAAATGTAAATGTTCTTTTATATGGTAGTACAAACCATAATGACCAGGATAATATGTATATACTAGAATGCACCATGAGATTCATTTCTAATACTAAACGCCTCTAATGTGTATTAACTTAATTAGTTTAAATTATTATCAAGGTTGGTACAAACACTTTAAATATGTATAAAACATTGATGTACGTTAAGTATTCATTTGTACTATTTATTGGGAATTGGCTGACCTTTGTGTAAACAAATGGACTTTGTGGTCAAGCCATTCCCTCTACAATTCAAAATCTTTGACCACACTCAATAATATAATAATACATAATTAAATGGATATATATAATATATGGGCAATTCTTTTGAGTGAGTGCCAGTTTGTGTAGGAGTATACGTGTGAGTAGTTATTTTTTTTCTTTTCATGTAACCTAAAATTAAGTTAAGATTTATATTTTGTGTGTTCTGTTGTGTGGTCAGTTGCTGCCCTCTGTCAGTGGGACCACTGGTGATCAGTGTGTTATATGGGGACGAGGCCGTTACCTATGTCTACCATGTACCATGTTGACCACCTGTGGATTCACGGAGTGGGGCAGAGACTGACTAGGGAACAGAATAACTACATTGGAGATATAATGACAATGACATCGAGCTCCACGTGGTGACCCAGAATCAACTTGCTATATAAACCATAAATCTCCTCTTATATCTTACATCCTATTACGTTCTTTATCATGTTATCCATCTGCACTCTCAAGTAGATTTATTCTCTAGTTGTAACTCCAATTCCATGTTAATGAAAACCTTCTTCATGTTAAAATCCTGCTAACCCTATCGTCGTCTGCGTGATTTTTAATAACAATCAAGGTATCAGAGATGCTTTACTGATCTGTATCATAATCCACTGTGGTGTAGGGGAGAGAACTCCCATAACGCATACATGACTGGTCGATGACTTCTGTCCCAGATGTAGAAAAACTTTGAAATTATTTCACAATAAATATATTATAATAAACATTGTCCATTCCGTAGGTGAGGGCTTGTATAGGCATTACGCCTGTTGCCCAATTCCTTTTGAAACTTGTATAAGATGCAGTATTCAATAAAATATTTGTGAAATGAAAAAGGTGTTTCATGTTCTCACTGTAAATTGAGATAAATATCATATATAAAAATAAGGGTATTACTACTCTTTTCATAGCAATACCATTATTTTTATCTCAATTTACAGTCATAATTCCAAACATCTTTGAAGCATAACTGTAACAGAGCGCATGATTAATTAAATTTAAATCACTGCCTCTGTTAGGGACCGAACCCGGGACCTCTGGCTTACTAGTCTTACGCTCAACCGACCGAGATAAAGAGAAGTTCGATATATTGCGGCTAGTATTTACCAGGGTTACATAACAACCTGTAATAAACTTTGAAAACTGTTCAAAATCTGTGCAGCTAGTGTGCAATGATATATATAGGCTATTTGAAAGCTATGTCGTTGATGGGACTTTAATTACCATGCAAGACATAATGCTTAGCGTATTAATACAACACCGACTGGAACTACAATATCTAATGTAAACGAACAGGAACGGCTGCTGAAAAAATGCTGGACGGTGCGAGACTTGACAATGTAATTGTAATTGTGTAAAAAATAATAAATAAATAAAAAAGACATTTTTACAAGAAAACCCAGACCAAGGTCTGCAATATCGTACAAAATGCACATCGGTTGAAATCACGTACCAATGTCGGCAATGGAAACAATTTTAACACTCATGCAGTTTATCAGAAATATTGTCTGTTACACTGCACTGATCTAAAGGAGAGGATTCAACAGTGGGCGCTGAATACTCCAACCCTACCAGATAAAGAAATGACAATGACCCTGTAACTGTAAATAACTATAGAGTAACCAGAAGTCAAACGCGTGTGAACAGTTAACATTAGAAGACAAGAATATCATACATCACCACAAGCTACTAGTTAGCTTACAACGATGTCATCTGAGCGAAACTGAGCGAGCGAAAAGGGGTTCGTTACAAATGTCTTAAATACACACCTCGGTATATGAGTCACAGCACACATACATATACATGAACAACATATGTGTATTTCAGACATGCGTAACGAACCCCTGTGCTCTATCACAAGACCACGGTTTCCTCAGTTTCTGCAGACATGTCAAATAACGAGTCTGTTGTAGAATCTAACTACTGTTGTCAGGTTCCCATACAATCAACAAATAAAACAAATTCGAACTTTTCTCTCTACTCATTCAACTTCCAAAAATAACTCTCTCGTGGAGGGCAAGGTCGGATTCACGGTGTTCACTGTATTTATCCATGCGCTAAATTTGTTCCGGGGAAAATTGAAACAATTTCAAATCTTAACTTTCAGCTCAGATTTCTATTGATAAACTTAAATCACCATATAGACATATCATACGAAATTGTGTTGATACTGAATTGTGGAATAAGATTGAAGTGTTTGTTAAAACTTCAAAGTACTACATTGTTTGCCAGTCAGCACGCGACAACACGCTGTTCCAACTATTAAACGAATTTATGTGCACTGTCGATAAGGCAGGAATTTTAAATTTTAGATATAAATTGTAAAGCTGTGTCATTCAAATAGATCATTAATACCATACAAAAACAGTTCAATGCTTAATTATTCCAAAACCAGTCAAAACCAGAATGCCGCGAATGTCTAAAGTTAAGATGGAGGAAAGGTTATTTTGCAATAGCAATTTAATCAAAAGGCGACATCAACGCCGTCTGCAATTAGACCGTGCATATGATTGGAGCCTTGTCCTGTTTACGAACTCGTCTCGTTTAACGTTTTTCTGGTCTGATAGCTGCCAACGTGTCCACTGACGTTACGGTGAACTATCTGCAAATACAAATGAACATGGGGTTAAAATTAATTATAGATTTAAAGGAAACCTGTTTTGATTTGGGAAGGCCTTTATAAAGGTGTTGGGAATCCCTTTATATGTCATCCAGGAGAATCTTACAGCTACTAGAGGTCGGTATCATTTTCTCCAGGACCACGTCATATCCCCTTATAAGATCAGATAAATAAGATAATTGTGTTTAACGTCGATGGGCATTTTATAAAACAACGGATTAAATCTTCCAGGAGGACAATGCCAGGACTAGCGTTGTAAGGATGTGCCGTTATTTCACACTGTTCCAGTACCTAATTGGCACGCCATACAGTCCAAATTTGTCCCCATCGTAATTTGTGGCAGGCCAATGAGAAAAAACGCAAAAAGTCTCTAAACAGCTTTGCCCAGATGACGCAGGCCTTTCTGGATGATTGGAATATCGTCTCAGTACAAAGAATTAAAAATTGTTTGGTTCTATGTGAAGAGGGTACGGGCGGTTATCTCGGCCCGCAAAGGACACAATCGTGATCAAACAGACGCTGGAATAGGGGATGGGTGGCTTCACTGCGACGTCATTCTTGACACCGCCGCTTTAGTTTATCATAAATAATTCAGAAAGGATAATGCGTTATTTTTTCCGTCAGATATACATATGTACCAGTAACAAGAATAGACTGTATAGGAATATCTTACATTAACACGAATTTGATAACATATACAGAAATGTATGGCGCAGAAACTTTGATAATGTATATAGAAAGCCTACTACAATTGCCTAGTACAATTGAGAATGTTGTTTGCAATCTTCTACCCTCACTAGTATTCATGTATTGTTGTTTCAGGTACGAAGCTAACTACATTGCACAAGCCGAACATGGCGGCACACATGTCGACGCGCCTGCGCACTTCTACGAGGGAGCGTGGCGTATACATCATATTCCCATGGAAAGATTGACAGGACCGGCTGTTATCATTGACGTAATAGATAAGGTCCGAAATAACCCGGATTACCGAGTGCAGCTAAATGACATAACCGGATGGGAATCGGACAATGGGCAAATTCCTGATAAAGCTGCTGTAATCATGAACTCTGGATGGGGATACAAGTATCCTAACAAGACGGCCGTGTTCGGGACCGAAACTCCGGATGTCCCCAGTACGTTCCATTTTCCCGCCTGGCATCAGGACACGGTCATGTGGCTTATCAACAACCGACACGTGTATATGATTGGGGTTGATACGCCCTCCACAGACTTTGGCCAATCAACGGACTTTCCGACGCACGTGTTAATGGCTAAGAACACTGTGGTTGGTTTAGAAAATGTCGCCAATCTAGATAAACTTCCGGTTTCTGGGTCTCGTATATTCGCAGCAGTCATCAAAATCAAAAACGGAAGTGGAGGTCCTGCGAGAATATTTGCCACAATCTCAGATAGTGATAAAGAATGTACCAATTCTGGGTCGATCCAACTCCCACCGTCGAAACTGGTTTATGCATTGATCTCAATATGCGTAGCCAAACTCTTTTTGTTGTACTGTAATTTCTGGTAGAAAGTGCAGTAATAACCCGCAATGGGCAGAGATAGCCTAGGATAGCCTGTTGAATCATCCTCGATACTCCAGGGGTTACGCTCATTTTTGCTCCCTGCACTCCGTGAATGTGTTATGAGAAAATCGAAGACATACTGTGCACCACCTGGTGGATGAGACGAGAAGACTAGGGGCCTGTTCATTTATGTGGAACAACTGGTTCGTCTGTTTCTTAATATAACATTTCTTTGGTATATATCCTGACGGACCTGTAAAAGTGTATGCAGGCCTGACAAGGGTTTGTCAAGGCTCGCCTGAAAATAGCGTCTGATTACTAGGTCCAACCTGTTTTCATAAACGAACATACCTGTCCAACCAGTTCAACCGCTTGGATCGCGATAAACGAAAGCGGCCTAATTTGATCCTTTGATGAACATCAAAATAATCTGTCGGTCGCGTAACGCTCCTCAATTCTATTCAAAGGACAAGTTTCAAGCCTAACGACATCGATTGGTCAGGTTTTTTCACCTGATACCAATACAAAGNCGGGGGGCGAAAGTGAGTGTAACCCCTGGAGTATCGAGGATGTCTGTTAAATGTACTCACCTGTTGTAAATACGGTATCCATATAACTTGTATCAATACCCTACGTAGCTTTAGCAAGCAAAATCACAAATAGAAATAAGGCATGTACATATTATATATATAACAAGGAAAAATGAGACATGTGTTAAGGTTGTTCACACTTGGAACCGAAAACTTGTTTAGCATGCATATCAAGATAGGCAAGGCAAACAAAAGTTTATTTAATACTTTGGACTGTCAGGAAGTCGGCATCGCCGGATATCCCTAAAGTGATAAGGTAATATGTATGAATCTGCTGGCAATAATCAGAAAATCATGGCAAGAAGTTTGGTGATGTTATCAAGACATTTTGAAAAAGAAAAAGAAAATTCGGTTACATGTATTTATTACGGAAAGAGATGCAGTGATTTTATTTCTTGATATCGGAAAATTATTGTTTTGTTCACAATAGTTTTTCAAAGATTAAATCTGAAGTGACTGAAACTTAAGTTACACACGCGTCTCTACCTATCTACATTTGTATATATTCTATTTAGTAAATCAAAATATTCTTATTCGTAGATCTTATAATCAATAAAATTTTGATAAACACATTCTAAAATGAAAATAAAAGTATACATTCATCATACATCATGGGCGTTAATACGAACCATGTATGGCTGTGATTTGGCTAAGATTACCGTAACTTATCTTGTTATTTATGAGGAAGAAATACTTAATGCACTCGTACGATATTTGTTGCATACGTATATTTTCAATAAACTTTGGATATAAACTTGTATGATTTGTGAGTGTATTTCTTGTTCGAATAGTAACGGAAACCAAGCATAAGATGGTGAAATATGTCACGGATTAATGGAAGATAGGCGCAAGTAATATTCCTACCCCAATGAACCCAAACGTACAGTTGTGCACCTATCCTTCAAAATGTCGGGATGGGGCAGAAAACACCGGGTGATCATTGGACACGCGTAAAGGATTTCACTCGAACAGTACCATCATGATAGGAAACGAACATAGTCAGGTAAGATTATCTCCCAGAGGTTTAGCAAGTATGTGATGTAGAGCTGAAGAATATAAAATGTATTTACATCATTATACATAGGTAGCCAAACGGTTGCTAATATGTAAATGGACGATCTGCAGTAGAGCATAGCATTGGCAATGGTTTATGTCGACATATGGGGAATAATGTTGTGGGGTTCCAAAGAGAATGAATGCAAAATCGGGGATTGTGTCTTTTTTTTAAAAGAAAAAAACCAAAACAACGATGAACAGTGCGAACAGTAAACAAACATCTGAAATGTCTAAGTTGGTCGGCTGACGATGTTTGACATATTTATCTCATTTGCAGTATACACGCATGCATTTTTAGTAGATACCTTTCAAATAAACAGTTATGTTTGAATTGAACAGATCCTGCTGTGACTTTCACTTTTGTTGCTTACGCATATTTTTTTTACCAGGTTTCGGTTTCGAATCCTGTTCTGGCTAATGCATTTTTTATTTCCTATTACTAAGCTCTCAACAAATATACGTAAGGGAGGTGGTACATGTACACGTGTATGTATTTATGCACTCTTGTGTGTCTATAGGGTCAGAGACGTCGTTTAAAGTGGTAGGAATGAAGCGGAACTTGACTGGGTCATTCGACCGCGACTAGGAAGCTCAATTGGTGAGAGCGTCAGTCTAAAGTTTCGAGGTCCTGGGTTCGAATCCCGGTCTGGCTGTTGTATTTTTCTCTTTCCGGTTGCAGTATGCGCACGGTTACTTTAACAATTGACGTTGTTATGCCATGATCATACATTGTTGCTGACCTAGGCACTGTTTTTGAGTCCTACCAAAATGACCTGTCGTGTTGACCTTGGAATACTATTCAATACCAGGCGAGTCGATAATCAGATAGAGAGTATATATATTTAGGTGCGTCTATATTTCAGGTATACATGAGTTAAAAAAAGCGTGTTTATAAGCGAAAGTCCGACTAAATAGTTTATAATGTATGCTGGTTGATTCCGAACTATGCATTTGTCCTGTCTGGTTTTTTCTATATTAATTTTTACTTTCCTCTTTTAATAATAATAATAATAATATACAACATTTATATAGCGCCCTATATAATTTGTAAAATTACTCTAAGGCGCTTAACAACATATGGATAATAGTAATGGTTATAATTGTGAAAACAAACAACAAATGCTTGCAACCACTTTCATACATTTAACAAGCAATGTGCACATAATTGAACAAATAAAAGGGTGGTATTTACATGACGTCTTTGCAAAGATTCTAAAATGCAGACGTGAAGGGGTTTTTATGTCCCTCTTGAACTTGGCCAGGGTATTTGACTTCCTAATAGCAGATGGTAAGCTATTCCACAACGTAGCCGAAACCCTCCCAAAGCATCTGTTTCCGTAGGTCACAGTACGAGATTCTGGGACACACAACAAAGATTCTGACTCCGACCGCAGTGATATTAACGGCTGATACAGGGTAACATGCTCCTGTAGGTACTGAGGAGCTGTTCCATTCAGTGTCTTGTACGAGTAACTAGCCGTGCTGCAGTGTTCTGGACCCTCTGCAGACGACTAGTTAGTTTGTCAGATATACCACAAAGCAAGGCGTTACCATAATCCAACCGAGAGGTAACAAGTGAATGCACTAAAATCTTGCATTCATCTGCAGTTAGAAACTGCTGAATACAGCCGATACTCCTGATCTGGTAGTAACAGGATTTGGCAAAAGCGTTCACTTGTTTATACATGTTCAAAGCACTGTCAAAGTATACCCCTAGGTTTTTAACAGCTGGAACAGTCTCAATAGTTCTGGCACCAACCTTGAGCTGAAGAGCCATTGTTTGCTGACACTTTGGGGAAAAGACGATCAGTTCCGTCCTTTCCTGATTAAGTTTAAGCATGTTGGCGTTCATCCAGATACTCACCTCTGTCAGACAAGCTTCCAGACTTTCTGAGACTGTATTCCAACTGTCCTGTGGTTGTATGACCATGTAAATGTGTGTGTCATCGGCATAGCAATGATAGCAAAGGATATGGCGACGACAAATCTCTCCAATCGGTTTGGAGTGCATACAATATTTTCGTGGTCCTAACACCGACCCTTGAGGAACCCCGAAATCTAGTACTTTGTCACGTGGGGTGGCAGATCCGATGGCAACACACTGTCGTCGTTCACTCAGGTATGACTGTATCCAGCATAGTGCGGTATCAGTCACTACATAAGAGTATTCCAGACTTTTATAAAGTATGCCATGGTCGATGACGTCAAATGCAGCTAACAAGTCCAGCATGACAAGCACCGCTCTGCACTTGTTATCCAATGCAGAAGCTATATCACTATGTACACGTAGGAGGGCCGTCTCAGTAGAGTGTCCCATGCGGTAGGCCGATTGCATGTTGTCATGGAGATTGTTTGCATGGAGATGAACCTCTAAACGCCGGGACACAACCTTCTCCAAGATCTTAGACAGAAAAGGCAGATTTGAAACAGGGCGGTATTTTTTTAACTCCTCCTTGTCCATTCCAGGCTTTTTTTAAATGGTCTGACATGTGCCTTCTTGACGCTTAATGGAACCTTTGACTCAACCAATGATTTGTTCATGATTGCGGTAATCAAAGGAAGCAGTGCTTCAAGACATTGCTTTAATAGGTCTGTAGGCAGTGGATCAAGCTCACAGGACTTCGATTGCGAGGTCATGATAATATTGCGCAACTCGTCCTGGGTTGTTGGTGAGAGCTTTGTCAATGGTTCCCCATCAAATGCAATGTCAGCAGTCATGACAGAGATGTCAATGTCAGCAGAGGTGTTCATTTCGGTAATATTTTTCCTGATTGAGCTGATTTTATTCAGAAAGTAATCACTGAACTTGCTTGCTAAGTCTTTTTCAGAATTACAGCTTGGTAAGATAATTTCACCTTTCTGTCCCATTAGGTTTTTGGTGAGTCTAAAAAATTGTCTTTTATCCTTGCCTCATTCTTCGATTTCTTCCGAATAATAACCGTTTTTTGACTGAAAGAGCAGTGAACCAACTAGCCGACATTGCTCTCTATAAATCAGTTGGTGAACGGTTAATTTGGTCCGTCGCCAATGTCTCTCTGCTTGTCTACGTTTCTGTTTTTCCACGCGGAGATTTTCATTATACCACGGGGCATTTGGTCTCACAGTTATCACCTTAGTTTGCAGAGGTGCGTGTTTCTCTATAAGGGCTTCTATACCAAATGTGTATGCTTCAACAAGATCATCAACCTCGCCTTCAGTAGATTGAAGGGCGGAACAAGACTGAATGTCATTGTTGAAATCTGGTATTGAAATTTCGCGGAATTTCCGGAAGCTCACTTATTTCCTTGCACGAGATGGCTTACTACAATTCAGTGTTGTGTGGACAGCAAGATGATCACCAGATTGGTTCCCCTTTACATCACTTAGACATGGATCAATCACTGAATTAGCTCCATGAATGACTGAGTTATCTTCCCTCGTTATGACCACATCCAGTGTGTGGCCATGCGTGTGTGTAGCTTCTGTCACATGCTGAATCAGACCCCTGGAATCTAGTAGAACAGAGAACTGGCGAGCATCAACATTAGATAGATCGTCTAAGTGGAAATTTAGATCGATTGCTTATAATTTTCAGGTTTTGTTTTTGTTTTGTTTTATTTTTGTTTTGTTTTATTTTTGTTTTCTTTTGTTTTTGTTTGTAGACATTATTTTTAACTTTGTAACGTCTTTTTTTCAATAAAAGATTTAAGGTTTTCTTTTTCAATGTCCAATACTTTTTCATTCTATTCAAACATCTTCATTTTCTGCGCTGTCTGTATCTGTCTTACTATATTCTGTCATCGTAGCTTTTATCCATTCCATATTATAATGAATTTGTCAATAACCCTGTCGACGATTGTATAGTATATTGTGAGTGTCATTACGCCTTGAACTACGT